TATGCGACATTTCTCCTACTGTAGAAGCTCATATACGACATAAAAACTACACGAAGAAATTTATACTGCAAAAACAGATACCAGTGATTAGTTCCACAGCAAAGACTTGGCCACAAGCCTTTGCTGTACCACTAATGTCGCGCATAAGTCTTTGCAGTAGAAGTCGTGCAGGAGCAATGACTCTGTTTTCGCAGTACAAGTAATGAGGATAATTTTTCCAAGGATAAGTTTTGCCGTGTGACACGAATGTCGCGTACAGGTTTTTGCAGTAGAAATTAAGGTGTGTATGAGTAATGACTGTTCAAGCGTTTGCAGTAAAATTAATGACGAGTATCAGCTTGTGCAGTGTAAGTCCTGTCGCGTAGCGCTAATGTCGTGTATAAGTATTGCCAGTAGAAGGAATGGCGTAGCACTGCTGCCGGTAGGGATTTTTGTTGTAGCACTTATGTCGTACAGCCGGTCAATGCTTACCAAGATCTACCTACATAGCCACGTACCTACCTAACAAGTTCAATGACCCCTAGGCGTGACCCGAGGTCAGCCAGGGCAAAATAATTACACACGCTCATTGCTCCATAGAATCTAAATGCACGCAAATTTTGAAGAAACACTGAAGGTGATGTGCACGAAAACCTCGGTTCCGATCGGTGTGGCATGAATGAACGCACGTTCTGGCAACAAGGGCGAAGCCTCGAATTATTCCACAGTCAGCACCAAGGGCGAAGCCATGAATTATCCCACAGTCAGCAACAAGGGTGAAGCCCCAAATTATCCGACAGTCGGCAACAAGGGCGAAGCCTCGTATAATTCATGGTGGGATACGAGGTTTATTGAAGTGGCTTTAGGCTTTTTTGGTGCTCCGGAGTGGCCCCTGTGGTGATTTGCGCCACGTATTCGAGGGGGCCAATACACGGGTTGAGGGCTTGTGGCTGTGGGGAGGGGGGGGGGGGGGCAAGACATCGAAAGAGATACAAAGCTTACTAACGTCAAATCAAGTACCTTGCAGATTGAGGCTATGGACAAAAAGTGCCCAAAGCCTCCAAAGGACTACATACACACGACGCTATCCAATGAAGAGCTGTCCCAAACTTGACACTCCACCAACCGTACTGCTCTTGTTTTCAGTGGCCGAACTTTTCAATGGCTGCGTTATTTTTACTCTCCGAAAGCGGCCAGTGATAGCCTTAAACTGTGTCAGCCTGCTCTCCAATCGACGATCAGTTCCACCGGATGGCCAGACGGTCCAATCCAGTCACGTGACCGGACGGTCCCGGCCCGAGCACGTCCAGCGTCGTTCAGCCGATGGGCGCGGCTGAGCGTCTGTAGTCTGCCCGAAGCCGGCGTAGCCAAGGGCCGGACCAACTGACCCCGCAGACGTGAAGGCCAGACCACCTGACCCGGCAGGAGCTGAGGCCAGACCCCCGACCCCGCAGACGCAGAGACCAGACCACCTGAGACCACAGGCGCGGAGGCCAGACCACCTGGCCCGGCAGACGCGAAGGCCAGACCGCCTGACCCCGCAGAAGCGAAGGCCAGACCGCCTGACCCGGCCGGCGCGAAGACCAGGCTACAGGACCCGTCAGGTGCGGAGGCCAGACCACCTGACCCGTCAGGTGCGGAGGCCAGACCACCTGACCCCGCAGACGCGAAGGCCAGACCGCCTGACCCGGCCGGCGCGAAGACCAGGCTACAGGACCCGTCAGGTGCGGAGGCCAGACCACCTGACCCGTCAGGTGCGGAGGCCAGACCACCTGACCCCGCAGACGCAGAGGCCAGACCACCTGAGACCACAGGTGCGGAAGCCAGACCCCCTGACCCCGCAGGCGCAGAGGCCAGACCACCTGAGACCACAGGCGTGGAGGCCAGACTACCTGACTCGGCCGGCGAGGAGGCCAGGCCAGACCACCTGAGACCACAGGCGCGGAGGCCAGACCACCTGAGCTCGCAGGCGCGGAGGCCAGATCATCTGACCCGGCCGGCGCGAAGGCCAGACCACCTGACTCCGCAGACGCAAAAGCCAGATCGCCTGACCCGGCCGGCGCGAAGGCCAAACCACATGACCCGCCACGTGCAGAGGCCAGACCACCTTACCCGGCCGGCGCGGACGTCCGTAACGTCGATCTGCGGAGGCGCGCGAGAGGCAAAGCAGAGCCGGCCCAGTTCAGACGCTAATCTCTAGCCGCCAGAGGCTGGACACGCAGTTCCTGGCGGCCACCCCTACTAAACAAGCGCAGGGCTGTGGCTAAACAGGGCTGGAAATGAGCGGTGCCATTGCTAATCCACTGCGCCGAGTCCAGACGTTCCTGCCTAAAGGGCTGCTTCTGAATCACTTAGTCACAACCCTTCCGTCCAATGAAATTCCTACTTCACTGTAGTCAAAGGGCAGATTCGACCGCTCCGTTTGAAGCCAGTAAAAAAGCCGGGCGGGCTCGCGAACATCCGCGGCATACTTTAAAGAAAGTATTCTCAGTTGTATGGGGTTGGAACTAAAATATCCATCTTGAAGATCATTCCGTGCAGTCAACGGAGCTGCCCTTCTTAAGCTGAGCGTCTCTAGTTTTTTAGCTGCACGCTCGCGAAAATGTGCAGGCTACTTTGGGAAGACTATTTTAAGGTCGATCAGGCACCCATGACACCATAATGACGTCATTCGAATCCTGCCATTTCATTAGCCATGCGGCGATCAAGGACAAAACAAAATATAATTACCGAGTCGTGCATACCTGGCGTTCGTGAGCACAGTTTCAGGATATAATGGCCGTCAATCGGCTCTCATCAGTGTTGTGCAAGGTACAATGACGTAATCAAACAATGACGCATTGATGAACATGTTTATTACGCGGAGAAACTGAAACACAAACAAGTACTTCGAACAACGTGTGTTACTAAAAACAATTTAATCCGAGGGATATAGCCTACATTGAGTCTTGCGCTCATGTCGGCTTCTAGCGAGTGAACTACCGCTGGCGGTCTAATCTGAGTGACTTGTTTGCCGCCATGACAGGTTATATCCTTCAACCAAAACGCGTCACCTGTTTCACGCTTTGGGCGAAGCCAGTGCTTTTTCTAACGTAATGACCAGCGCTGGTACTTCTGTACACTCTCTGTACATTGTGTTTGCGATAGCGTCCACAGGTGACACTCGCGATGCATGAGCCCCTACGGCCTGAGCTATACCACAAACCGCAACAGCGCGGTGAAGGGGAGAGGGGGGGGGGGGGGCAAGACGCCAGCGGACCAATGCCGCCTCCAGCGCCGCGGGGGACGGCAACAGGGCGCGGACGGCGTTGGAGAGGTGGGCGCCGGCGGCTCCGCTGCCAGCGGTGGATCTTGCTTAAGTGGCTGGAGGGGAGACATTGAAGGTGCAAGGAAATCGTCTTCCACACTGCATCTCCGGGCTGATGCTACCATTCAAGAATATATGTATGTGTGTGTGGGGGGGATTCAGCCCTTTCGAATATACGAAACTCCCCTCCCCCCCCCCCCCCGCTCCCAATGGCAGCCGCAGCTGCTTTGACGCCCCATCTGAGCGCAGAAAGAGCCTCGGACGATTACGAATTGCTGCTCGTTACTACTCGATGGGGCGTTGAAGCGAACATTGCTACTTCTCAACGCGCGTCACTGCGCAGACGACCCACGCACGGGTCCGGCCTGCCAGGATCACAACCAAGAATGCTGTACAATTACAGCCGATCCATATTGCATGCGTAATGGTTGCCAGCCAGGGCCTGCAGGGGCCGTGTGCGAGCACCAGTAGGTTACCGCACCACTCGCCAGGTGCGGGTCAGACACCAGACACGTGCAGGAGCCGTGTGCGAGCACCAGTAGGTCATTGTACCAATCAGCAGGTGCAGGTCAGGCGCGGGACACGTGCAGGAGCCGTGCGCGAGCACCAGTAGGTTATTGACCCACCCAGCAGGTGCAGGTCAGACACCGGGCACGTGCAGAAGCCGTGTGCGAGCACCAGTAGGTTACCGCGCTGCCCAGCAGGTGCAGGTCAGACACCAGACACGTGCAGGAGCCGTGTGCGAGCACCAGTAGGTCACTGTACCACTCAGCAGGTGCAGGTCAGGCGCCGGACACGTGCAGGAGCCGTGCGCGAGTACCAGTAAGTTACTGACCCACCCAGCAGGTGCAGGTCAGACACCGGGCACGTGCAGGAGCCGTGCGCGAGCACCCGTAGGTTATTGACCCACCCGGCAGGTGCAGCTCAGACACTGGGCACGTGCAGAAGCCGTGTGCGAGCACCAGTAAGTTACTGACCCACCCAGCAGGTGCAGGTCAGACACCGGGCACGTGCAGGGGCCGTGTGCGAGCACCAGTAAGTTACTGACCCACCCAGCAGGTGCGGGTCAGACACCGGGCACGTGCAGGGGCCGTGTGCGAGCACCAGTAAGTTACTGACCCACCCAGCAGGTGCAGGTCAGACACCGGGCACGTGCAGGGGCCGTGTGCGAGCACCAGTAAGTTACTGACCCACCCAGCAGGTGCAAGTCAGACACCGGACACGTGCAGGGGCCGTGTGCGAGCACCAGTAAGTTACTGACCCACCCAGCAGGTGCAGGTCAGACACCGGGCACGTGCAGGAGCCGTGTGCGAGCACCAGTAGGTTACTGCGCCACCCAGCAGGTGCAGGTCAGGCACTGGGCGCGTACAGGAGCCGTGTGCGAGCACCAGTAGGTTACCGCGCCACCCGGCAAGTGCAAGTCAGACACCGGGCACGTGTAGGAGCCGTGTGCGAGCACCAGTAGGTTACTGCGCTACCCAGCAGGTCCGGTCAGGCTGCCACGCTGTGGTGCGTTTCACTACGCCACCGCGTTGACCACACACGCACATGTCGCAGACCTTGTCATGCTGATCGTGAGTTGGACAAAGTCAACACGGAGCTAATCAGGCTGCCGGATGGTGAAGCCAGCCGTGCTCTTCAGCGAGGCGGCCCGGCCGGGACAGAAAGCAGCATGCGGGCGCCCAAGGTGCCACATTATGACCGGCTCTGTCAGGCATTCACGGCCAAGCTGCCGGACACGGATGCCGCCTAAAGCAGCAGCCTCTTTCAACAATCAGCCCCCGCCCCCCTCCACAACACGCACACATACACACACATAAAAACATTAAACAGCGCCACCTTCGCCCGCTGGCAAAAGGAACAGGTCCAGTTTGTTCTGAGAGAAGGTAGCTCTTCCGAGTGTTGGGCAGTGTGCCCGGCCCGGCCGCTGCCGTCTGCTACCGCTGCTGCTGCCGCCGTCAACGCTGCCGCCTAGTCGCCTGCTGCTGAGCGGCGAACCGGAAGCGCCCCTTCCCCCCTCCCACCCCGAGAAGCACCGATGACATGACCGCTCGGCCCACGTGGTCCATCCACCCGACGGTACAAGGGAGGCCTCTCCGCGCGACCCGCTACAGCCAGGGTCGGATCGCCGCCGACGTCGGTCATGTCCTGTCATCTAAAGGTACCGGGTTCGATTCCCCGCGGTGCCCGTCCTTCCTGCCAAGGTGACAGGCAGGCGGCGCTATACAGCCTAGCAGCTGAGTGCGTCGTAAAGACCCCATGGCGCACACAGGTCTGGACATGAGGTCAGGCGAGGCAGCGAATAGCACAAGATGGCGCTTAGTGGAAACACAACATGCGATCAGATCACATCAGATCAAGAAGGCAGACCCGGATCCAGATCCAGTTCACGCACAGTCCAGTTTATCCCGAGCAAATATATACCAAATTAGTCACCTGAGTGTATGTACATCCAAGCTATCAATGAAAGCCCTACTGATTTAATAATCCCACGCCCCTGGTACCTTTTCATGTACGTTACTTGGATGCGATTATTCAACTTCTAACCCATGCCAGCTTGTAGTCTCACATGATGGACTTCAAACAAGAAATCTTTTGTAGTCTGCTCGAATGTTTTGGTGCTTTACCACGCGTAAAACAACCACCGTTCCAAACTACCATTCAAGAGGCCCAGCCGTCCACTGCAGACGCGCTGGCCCAACCAAGGAACTGGGTGTAGTCCACTGAAACCACGAGAGCCCACGGCGCCAGCAGGCACGCAAGAGCAACATTACACCAATCAGCACGGCCTCCGTCAACTGCAGGTGTCGAAAAGGAACCAAACGATGCAGCACTCAGCGGACGCTTCGGCCTCGCTACTCACCGGTCTGAGCGGCACGCCGACGATAGCCGCTGTAGGCACGTGAGCATCACGCCGGCGAGAGGAACTGAAGTTGGGCCGAGGGGCTGGGTCGCATTCTTCCATGGTTCAGTGCGCCTTGCACTGTGGGAGTCCCTCTATCCCAAGTTCGTTGGCGCCCCTCTTTCTAATTTTTCGAGCCTGATCCTGACCCTAACCTGGTCATCAGCCTTGAATTCGGGGTGCATTTCTACTCAGGCATGATACCCTGTACTTGGTCAATGGGATTGTATCCTCTTACGGTTTTAGTGAACCTATCTTAGCTTGGAGCGTTGTCCACCTGTTTTTTAGCAGTCCCATCCCCCTTATCTGGACCCCGGGTGGTCATTTGCCCCAGGGTAGTCATTTGCCTATGATTGTCTGAATTCATTTATTTAGATTGCAAGGCACGCCTCAACTTATGCCTGGAACGCTCCTTCACCCATGTCCGTTAGCGCCTCAAAAACATTAAGAATGGTTTGTATGGGTACTTTTAGGTCCACGATACATGCTAAACACAGATTGCTGTGTATACCTTCAGCCACCACTGAAGTCGTCGTGACCAGTTCAAAGGACAATTTTGCCATTGCCTTAACGCCAGACAGGTCTATAGAGGGTTTTATGCATCGCACTATGCTGTGCCACGCCCACCCCGGGCCTGAGTTGACCCTTGTTGGCCAGTCACCAGAAGTAGAGGGAAGCCTCTAAATCCAGCTCCACTTGGATTTCAAGACTCCGATCTACTAGGGCTTGAGGAGAGCACCTGCGCTTAGGCTGGGAGGCTCCCATCCGACAGGCTTTGGGTGTCCCCCTGCTAGGACATTGGGGCATACCTTTACCAAGGCCAGGGGCGGCACTCTCCTCGAATTCTTCGGACTTCTTCTGACACAAGGAGGCCAATACTCTCACATGCTGAGGGGCCCTAAACTCCCCCACTAGAGTGCGCGCAATGCGCGCGCAGGCAGCACTGCTGCTGTCATTTCGGCAGCCCCTGTGCCTCATACTCTGCAGGATGTGTGCGTGATCGAGACATGCAGTCTTGGTTTCCACGATAGCTGCGTTGTTGGACAACTGGTATCCCTCGAAATGGCATTATATGCAACAGCTCCATGAATATTAGTTATATGCAACGAACAGCATTAAGATTGGTCGCTAAAAAGTCAGCTGCCTATCCCTTTTTGTGGTGCTGATGCATTCGATGCTGCGACAGCGTTTACAATCTTGCAGCAACGGAATAGTTTAGTACTGAGTAAAAATACCTCAAAACAGTGACACTGCCTCCAGTTCCTATTCTGTTGTCGAAACCGGTAAAACATCTGTCATGCAAAAACATGGCCGGCTGAGAAACATCAAATGATACAGAACATAATCGTCTGTAACACTTGAATGTTTCGCATCCATTTTACTTTTAGCCTTTCGCCCGCCCCAATATTTCGCTAAGTAAAAGCCGAGCAGAAATAATCTCCCGCATATGTTGGATGCCTCACGTCTCGGAGAGTACGCTACCGCTGTTTCGGTCACTCGATGACCTCTAACAGTAGGTCTTAATTTGGCATTGCTGGAGACGTTTGTGCAAGAATCAAGAAATTTGAGTCAGGACAAATTTATTGATGCAGAAAGGATATAAACCTTGGTCTTTAGCCAAGACTTCTGGGAATACAATAATTCACACAACGGGTGTGAATTATGCAGGGCACCAATACATGGCGCCATCCCTGCCAAACTTCGGACTGAGTGCGAACTAACAAGCACGAGCCACTGCCTGCGCCGCTCGAATTGAACGCAGAGTCCCACAATATCTACTTCCACAGGAGTTACCACTTTTTCAGCAACCCTGGAATAAACTAGCATTGCACAAACTTCTCCGCCGCCAGCGTTCTAAGAACAGCTCCTGCGCACACGGCACAATCGCAGCGGCAATGAACGCCAACTGTTCCATCACAAACGAGCCGAGGGACCGAAGATACCAACTGCCTGCCGTCAGTCCTACAAAGCAAAATTCCAAAACATACGTCAAGGAGAAAACGCATCTAAACGGGTCACAATGCTCTTAATTTGGCGTACATCGCCTGCATATCGCCAACACAACGCCAGAGCTAACGGCGGCGGATGGGGGTCGCCGGAACATGCACGCTACGGACTATGCTGTTCACAGTCGTTGCCAGTCAGTCTGATCAGCTGCTCAGACGGCCTGTTCTAATCACGCGCTCCCGTGGCGGCAGCACATCCTTCAGCGGGCGGCGGAGAGCCACATGGTTTACGTCCCAGTGTTGACGCGGCGCGGGCCACTCAGGCGCGCCAACAACGCTGGTGCCGCCTGGTGCGAGCCGGGACCGACCGACGGGCGGTCGCCTGATGACGATGCGCCTAGAGCGGCGACGACAAAGCCTCGAGACTGGCTGCGGACGAAACCCGCCACTGACGGCTCGCTGCACGCAAACCGAATAAACGGACAGCAGAGGCGATTTCAGCCTGCAGGCTGTCGATCAGCGGCTCTGCTGATAAAGGTGGCGCTTAGCAGGTGTTTTTCGATCGCCACCGATTATGGTGGCCGGCCCCCTCGTGACGCGGCGGTGTAGACGGAGGACACAGACCCAATCGGCCGGCTTCACGTGCAGACGAGCACAGACGGAAAGCTTTAGCGTGCAACGCGCAAAAACACGGTCAGGAAAGACGAACAATGAAACAGAAAGAAGGTGAACAGGCCGTGGACGAGGCCGTGGACGAGGAGGAAGGTTTCAACGGGACGCACGGGACCGAGTTCCCTGAACTGGGCAGAAATGAACGCTGTGCCTGCGGGCTCTGAGTGGGAGGCAAATAATTAAGACATCTATGCTCATTCTCTGAACTCTTGGCCTACCGCTGTTCTTGTGGGTGTACCTGTGAGCATTGCAAGTGGCGCGAGATGCAACACGAATGCTCCGAGATGACGTCGGCACACCAGATGGGACTGGATACACTAATGTGCTGATGCACATATCCACTTAACAGCACGTCACATCATTACCCCCTTCCCTCCCTCCCCCCTTTCGATACGACAATTGAGCGTGATCTTACGTAACGTCTTATCAAAGAGAAGAAACATGTCAATTAGAGAGCATATTCAGCATGCCAACACGATCAATTACGGGACTGCCATTTTCGTTCGGTGCTGACAACATAGCGATTACATGAAAGGGGTGAGTGCAAATACACGGGGTAATTCTAGCCAATCGGGATGAACTGATTGTTTGGACTATCGCTCTCGCCTGGTATGATGTGACACGGGGATGCAAATAACCAAGGGGTGGGCATTTGCCGTGGGATACATATGTTTAGCACGCCCACAAAATTTCGCCCAATAATTTTCCGGTCGTCGTCAGGGCCCCTTCCCCATTACCAAACGCCGTCCTCAGTCCAGCTCCCCATTGCTTACGACCCGGGCTCCGCCCACTGAGCGGCGTCATAGATACACGCCAATGGGGAACGCCTCTATTCCAAATGTGGGCACAGGCAGAACCACCTGATCCAACCTCATGTCTCGATGGGATTGGATCAGCATGTATTTTAACCTAGTGCGTTTGCTTACATTTCATGTAAGCATACGCGCTTATTGCTCTTCCCGGCCGAGTGGGGAATGGGCTTGGGTAGTGACGTCATAGTTAAGGAATAGGCTCACTCCGAAGGCGATGGGCTTCCACTGGTTTGTGAAGGACGGGGCTCAGACATAGCAGCTTGTGATGTCATAGGTAAGTGCGTCACAGCAGTTCCTACGGCGTAGAGTTAAGTCGCTTGTATATCATGCACGCATTTGAAACGCCGTAGGTAAGGTAAAATGGGTAGTCATTTACCAATGGGGAACACGGGCCAGGTGTTGCGACTTATGGGAGGTACGATTTCGTGTTCGGATTTCAAAGGGAATATTTCCCATTTAAAGATATTGAAGCAAGCATCAGATATGATGAAACAAGCTCACTTATAATCATTGGTATACTTTAAACAGAAAAGACTGCTCTAGACAGCAGAATTTCCGTGTTTAGTCAATATACTCTTCCGCGTCATTATTTGATTACGTCATCGTACATTGCACAACACTGATTGGAAGCCAATTGACAGCCGTTATATCCGGTGATCTTGGTCACGAACGCTAGGTACGAATGACTCAACCATAACATTTTATTCGCCCTTATCGCCGCATGGTTTATGGAATGGCAGGATTTCGATGACAGTATTATGACGTCATGAATGTTAAGAGGCGCTTGAAATACTCTCCATCTTCGCGGGCGCGTACCTCAGAAACTAGAAGGGTTTGGGTTTTAAGGAAGGCAGGGCTGTGAACTGCATCGAATGATCTTCAAGATGGTTATTTCAGTTTAAAACTACAAAGACATGTGGGACACTCCCTTTTACCACGCGCGCCACGCAATCCTCACAATCTCATGGAATTGTTGGGATTCGAACCAAGGTCTTCTCATTACGAGTTCAGCGTTCTACCACAGAGATCATCGGGAATGACGCTCACAGACAGCCACTCGAGGAAGATATTTGAACACTTGAATATCAGTCTGCAATACTAATACCACGAATCAATCATCCCACCATCACCTAAAATTGGAATCCCGTCACAAAAGAAATGGTGTGACATCCGGGGTGAGGCTGTCAGTCTGGGGAAACCAGCGCGCTTTTATAGCGTGCGGCTCTCCATCCACAACACATACGACCCCACAGAAAATGTCAGATCGTTTGGTCTGACGTTTGCCCTCTTCAAAGGTAGCAAGCGTCGTTTGGTGATTCACTTCAACCGTTTTATCGCTATGTGACAAAATTCAATGCACTTAGCACCGACCACTTAGGAAGAAAAGCATCGAAACATCGGCCCGTTAGAACAAAGTACCGATCCATTAGGACAATTTAATATTGCAATATGGCTAATCGTAATCGTGAAATGGAGAGTAGTACCTTAAGGGCTACTCAGAACAGAATAAAATGATTAAAGAAAATATAATAGAAGCACCGATAGCACCCAATTTCGCGAAGAAAAGTTTAACCCCCATTCCGTGTACCACGTGACATCACAACGCTTGGTTGTTGTCTATTGGTGTTTCTGGTCTCAGCAATTGTGACGTCACACCGCAAGGGATTACGTTCACACGCGAGGGCGGTCGCCGCCTGCGCCATCTGCCTCCCTCGCCAGCCCGCCGCCGCCCGATCCCAGACTTACCTGCTGTTGTCCTTAGTACTGGGAAGAAATCGCGAGCAGTCGCGCCGCGAGAAAGTGGACTCAATCCAGGACGTGACTGTCCCAGCTTCCCTCTTCCTCTTTTTGAAAGCCGATGACTTGAACATGGCGACGCACTGTTACCCACACAGACCGCGCAGAGCTGGAACGATAAAATAAATTGTGAGCCTGGATAAGCATCATCTTGTGCAACCATCGCCGAACGAGGGAAATCAGAGGCCCCAGAAGTTGTTTTTTCCGGAATACCTTTCGAGCCACTGGACATTTGATGGTAGACTTTCAGCACCTCAGTTTTCTACATTGTGCAATTCTACGAAAGCATCACGGTCCCACCTTCAAAGATCACCTGAAATTACCTCTTTGTTCAATTACAAGTTCAATCATGTCGATCAGGTCATGCCGACCGTATTATGCGTGTATGAGCGTACGACGGCGTACGCTCGTTACAGAATACGTATTTTTAAGCACTTCCCTGCACTGGTTCTCTCGTTATGCAATATGATGCGATTCCACAAAATGCACTAAGGTCAGGTCATGTAAGGTGACATTACGCCAAACCTGGCGTATGGAAATTTTCTCAGTAGGAAATCTTTGCCGTTTAGGCTGTAGTTTGGCACAACTAAGGCTGCATAACCGGACATTCAGCGCAGCCTGACAAGCTTCATTCCCCGTCATTTTTCGTTGTCGTACCATGCTCAGTTCTTGGAATAACTGGGTTTGGCCAATACAGCAAAATTTCACCCTTCAGGCCTGGTTTGAAATGCTACAAGTAACGCCTATTGATGACCTAGTATCGAAGCATGATTCAGTGCGCTATGACGCGTGCAGTGCCGCTTTCTCCGTCATATTCATAGCACCTGTCGTTACCCTTAGCCGACCCATCAAAAGCAACCTGCAATGCTGTTCAACAATGCTAACCGGGAGCAGTTTCGCGATGGTTTTACAATGTTGTTCTGCACTGTAGCATGCAAAAGAAAATACCAGCCAGCTTTAGGCTTCTCACATGACAGCTTTGGAGGTCGTCAGAGATGTTCAGGAGCATAGGCATTGCAAAAACATTAATTGATAGACAAATTGCCCAACCAAAACATGCCTCAAGATCCTGTCTTAACATAGGTTTGAACACACTCAGCAACTCTATGGTTAAGTTAACCAACTCACTGGGGGATGAGAATGCTCTTGGACTCTATCCAAGACTTGTGTACTGCATTGTCCTCTGGAGAAATACAATCCCAGAATAGCTGACCACATCATGCCCAAGCTCATCAGCTTGATATTGCATGAGACATTGAGGATAAATCTTGCCATGAAACAAGCTGTCACTGGAGGGAGATGGGGAAGGGAAGTCAGGTAGTTGACAGGTGAAACTGCAACAACTCCAAAACAGTATTAGCCAGGCTGTTGCATACACCATCACCTGGAACCAGATAAACATAGCCAAGATCTCCATCCCAAAGTGCCCAAATGCACTATCTATAAGACAATATTTTACCCATGCCCAAGATTGACCACAGGGGCAAAAAATAAGCCCTGCTTGAAAAATGCTGCATCTGGTTATTACCCACTGCAAGAGGATTATAATACATGTTACTATAGTATTTAGGTGCACATCACTGAGCTGATAAAGCATCAGACACTAAATAATCTACTATAGACATGTATGATCACATCCCAAATTACACCTGTGGCTTGTCCTTGACAAGTGCCACCTGGCCATGTCACCAACCTGAAATGTGGATGACCATACCAGTGTTGTAAGGCACGTAACAATGTTTCATAAAAATTGCCAATTGAGCTACTTTTTGTCATTGAGCTGGTGTAGCAGGGGTCCTTTCTCAAATGCTGAGTTTAATTTACTTTAAAAGATGAAACTTTAAGTTGACCATACACCACCAATTAGAATGTTATCTGGGGGCTGGGAAATTAACCCAATTTGTAGTAAGCCATCTTCTTTTGCATTCAAGAACTATCACTAACTAAAATATCCAGCAAGAACCCATTACAAATGCTGACAAACTTTCCAACTACTCACATTTGCGCATAAATACGGCTGAGGTCTAACAGCAATGTGAGACAAGGTATCAAAGAACATAATAGCAGATGCAGAAAAAGTGTCATCGGCAACATTTTTAAGTGATGTACTTTATACTCTTACACACACGTTCTGCTTCAGAGACTCTGAGTTTTTCTGGGTGTGGTATGGATGCAACATGATGTTGTTGTGTAATCTATGGGTAATATGACAATCATAGGGCAGCTTCACAACATGGACAAATTTCAGGGCATTTCCGTGAAATGACAGTTCAATGGTGATAATTACTTTTTCACCATTATCTGGTGGGCAATATGACCAAGATGCACAGCACCATTCTCACCCAAGTCCAGGGATCGGCGGAAAACAGCCAGAGCGTAAACAGTTCACTAAGGTCTCGTTTCGACGTACACCTTTAAGAAGCGAAATTCTGTCCAGGAGCAGCAACCTCCCTCCCCCGAACAGTCTCGACGAATGACGAGCGTCTCTACACGCAACATTTACCGGCTTTGACTCGGCTTTGCGCCGTCGCAGCTTGTCTGAAGTTTGTCGGAATTGCGCCAGCAAACGCCTGCGAATGTCTCTAGTCAACCGCTGACTTAGTGCACCTTACACTTCAGGATGTAACATAGTTCAAATATCAGGTAAAAATGCCGCAATAAGTTCACAACAAATATCCGAAACAGCTAAATGTCACCCTTACGTTTGCCGAAAACCATTTCCTGCTAGATTTGATAAGCCTCTAAAATTAGCCGACGGACGTGAAATCAACACCGACGATTCCGGCACAGAGGAGACGATATCAGTCGGCCTTGGGTATCAGTAGCCTTTACTCTAGTAGCCTTGGTTGAAACCTCGGTTGAGAACATTGTTCCGAGGCGTTGGTTGAAACCATCCAAAAAAGCATGTATGCTGGGCGCTGCGGTTCCAGACGTACTTGATGGGAATACGAGTGTGGAGAGAAAAACTCAATTCCTCTTTTCTCGCATGTGTGCATCTCTAATTCCACTGGCTCCTCAATGAATGCTGATGTCACATGCAATGTGATGCATACCTAGTCTACGTATTTTAAGGCTTAGGGAGGACAGATGTATCCGTTGCAGGCATCATGTGAACTTCCAGGCTACCACTGTTATGCAGTCGCATGGTCACCATTTCACAAAGAACTTCTGGCTGTGGTTTCTGGAACAAACTATGGCCTATCAGGTAATTATGCTGAGTAGTTTTGCTCCCCAAACACTCGTAACCCCTATCATCACTACCATATTCAGGGACTTGGGTGGTGGGGATGTCAATATGTTTTCGTGTCATGATTCCCAGAGCTGGGGGCTCATGATCAAGATCAGAGCAGTGACCACCAAAATGTGTATGGAAGCCACCCTGGGCTTGGTGTCAGGTGGCACAAATTTATATTTACATCTTGCACATTCCACTGGACAAATTTGTAAATGCAGCCCTCAGTTCTTTCTAGTTAGCAGTGTTGTGTCTGTGGCTAGAGATTCTAGGGAGGTGAGAGACTTTGTTGTTTGGGAGTAGCCCTGATTTGATCTATTTCTTTCAAGAGTAGATCACATCTAGATATGGAGCATCATCTCTTTGGCATACTTTTTAAGTTTTGGTTACCTGTTTAGGCTTGTGATTTAGTTTTGATGTTTCATTGGCTGATTTTATGCCTCAGAAACCCTGCACATGTTTTAAATAAAAGAAACTGGCCTTTGGCCCCAGGAGGGCCTCCACTGTCTCCAGATAGAATAAGATAGAATAAGAAAGAGGGTGTGGCCCCAGAATCCCCTTGGCTATGTCACCAGGAAGAAGAGGGGCAGTTTCTGGCCCACATGATTACAAGAAGCAGAGTTGTGGTATCTGAGTTTTGATGAAACCATAAAATTGATGACCTCCATACTACATTAGATCAACTTTCTGCTGGGGCATGTCTGTCCATAAAAGTGAAACACTTGCTGATTCCATGTAGTCATTGCCTTCATAAAACGCAGTCCTATCATTTGCATGCTTCTTGTTGATTTAGTCTTTTGCAAAGGCATGCTATTTGTGTGAGTTGATTTTTGCACAAGGTTATGTAAGTCAGATTGGTTACTGAATCATTCAGCATTATATTTAAGTGGCACTAAATAAAAGATGTAACTTTCATATCCTTTTTAACTTAACTTTCACAAACTCCTTCATATCCCTTACATCTGTCAGCCAATGTATATATTATGATTTATATTATGTAATATATGAAATATATTATGTTTATATATGACCAATATTATGAAATATATCAGAAACTTCAAAGAGATGTATAAGTCATGTTTAAAATATTTGATATGCAAACATTTGCAGGCATGATGTTAATTTCCTGATGTAATGCGCACATTATTTGGATGTGGCTGGCTGACCTACCTGGAACAAATTAGAATGCAGGCATCTGAATTCAAGTAAGAATAGAATTCAATCACTATCAGACTCTGTTATTCAGTGTCAAGCCAAATTTCATGTCAGTGCAAAGCATATTTTTGTGTGCTTGATGATAATCTAATTGTGAGTGTTCATAATTTATCCCCATAATTATTGGATAAAAATATATGTGAACCAAATGAAAGTGAATCAAGAACAGTCTGCTAGCAATACTGTCATGCATGTGTATAATGGCAGTTTGTTGGTCTTTAGATCAAGTGATCACTCGCCTGACAGGTTTTGTGTTTTTTCCACTTTGAGTGTATTGATGTTAGCACAGCCAGCACTGGCCTGTCCCCCAGGCGCCGGCCGTCTGGACGTGCTCCGCCTCTCGGCCGGCGGCGCCCACCTGGCGCCCAGCTGGAGCGCCCCCTGGCAGGATGTCATTACGGACGTGACGTGGTCTGAGACGAGTCCGTCGGCGCTGGTGGTGGGCACCGGCGACCGGGCCGTGGCCGTCTTCGACACCGCCAAAACAGGGGTAAGGCTGGTGGGGGTGATGGGAGGGGGGGGGGCGACCGAAGCCAGGCAGGCCAGGCGGCGGCCAACGGAGGAGCCGCCGAGTGCCCGGCTCGGGGCACCAGACCCCCTAATGTGTTGCTCGAAGTGGCTATGTGTAACGCCGTTGGGCTGTCACCAATATATTGGGGAGATTTTCCGTGGCATGCTCATTGGCTGAGGAAGTGCATTTTGTAGACAAGCGTGTCACTGGTCGGCATAATAATAACCGCCCCTGGAATGCGGATTGAAGGCAGTACGTGATTGCATTTGCCTGTGCCTCAAATTCAGACCCTTATTAAACAAGCCTGTGACGTCTGAGCTCGAGCGGCGGGGTGACCCTGGCCCGGCCTAACGTAGGACGCTTCAGCCAAGCCCAGTCTGACGTGGGATGCCGCACCCTGGCCTGGTCTGGGGCAGGATGTTTCGCCCAGACCCGGTCTGACTCAGGATGTTTCGCCCAGACCCGGTCTGACTCAGGATGTTTCACCCAGGCCCGGTCTGACTCAGGATGTTTCGCCCAGACCCGGTCTGACTCAGGATGGTTCACCCAGGCCCGGTCTGACTCAGGATGTTTCACCCAGGCCTAGTCTGACTCAGGATGTTTCGCCCAGACCCGGTCTGACTCAGGATGTTTCGCCCAGACCCGGTCTGACTCAGGATGTTTCACCCAGGCCCGGTCTGACTCAGGATGTTTCGCCCAGACCCGGTCTGACTCAGGATGTTTCACCCAGGCCCGGTCTGACTCAGGATGTTTCACCCAGGCCCGGTCTGACTCAGGATGTTTCGCCCAGACCCGGTCTGACTCAGGATGTTTCGCCCAGACCCGGTCTGACTCAGGATGTTTCACCCAGACCCGGTCGGATGCAGAATGCTTCACCCTGGCTCAGTCTGACTCAGGATGTTCACATCCCCCGACCCGGTCTGAACGCAGGATGTTTCACCCCGAGCCGGTCTGACGCAGGATGTTTCACCCCGACCCGTGTGACGCAGGATGTCTCACTGGTGCGGCGGGAGCATGCTCAGGAGGTCAGCTGCGTTACCTGGAGCCCGGTCAGAAGTCACCAGGCTGTGCTGTCTGCCAGCTGGGACGGCACAGCCAAACAGGTCCGTGCGGTGACGGACGCCTATCCAACCCGCTTGATATTGTGCATCGCCCGCTCGTCCGTGCTGTGCTTGTGTGTGTGTGTGGCCTGTGTGTTAGTGTGCGAGGATGTGCTTGCGTGCTTGCAGTCTGTGCTTGTATTATCAGTATTCGGTGTGAATATGCATTTCGTCGTATTTGCAGCTGTTGTTTTAACAAAGGACCTCATTGGTTACTGGCAGTAACGGATGCTGCAGCATTACAACATTATCACTTTGATAATTTCGTTGTCTATACTTTCGAGGTGACTGCTGCTGGCACCCAGTAACAGTGCTGAAGAAACTGATCTGTTCAGTCGATAGCCTCCAGGCGTGTTTTCAACTTAGTGGAAGGTCGGGCTCGACTTTGGTCGGTGAAGCACGTCTCCACAACCGCCTGTCGTCGGCCGGCCTTGCGCTTACAGCGCTGTCCGCTCGCGGACCCTGTCTCGTGTCCGGCTCTTCAGCGGTGTTCTGGTCCGCCGCAGTGGGATGCCGGCAGTCTGCTCTGCGTGCAGACGTACCCCGTCTGCGCCGGCCGCGTGTACGACGCCGCGTGGTCGGCGGCCGAGGCCGGGCAGTTTGCCACCGCCGCTGGTATGTTGCGTTATCGTGGTCGGCGGCCGAGGCCGGGCAGTTTGCCACCGCCGCTGGTATGTCGCGTTATCGCCCTGTGACACGGATGCCGGTGAAGGGTGCACGGATGCCGTGGTCCAGTAATGAGGGTGTGATGCCACGCGGAGGGCCTGAGCTTGCACTCTGGGGTCCCACGCCCGAGCTCGCACCCCGGGGTCCCACGCCCGAGCTCGCACCCCGGGGTCCCACGCCCGAGCTGACACTCCGGGATCCCATGCCCGAGCTCGCATCCCGGGGTCCCACGCCCGAGCTCGCACCCCGGGGTCTCATGCCCGAGCTCGCACTTCGGGATCCCATGCCCGAGCTCGCACCCCGGGGTCCCATGCCCGAGCTCGCACCCCGGGGTCCCACGCCCGAGCTGACACTCCGGGATCCCATGCCCGAGCTCGCACCCCGGGGTCTCATGCCCGAGCTCGCACTTCGGGATCCCAGCCCGAGCTCGCACCCCGGGTCCCATGCCCAAGCTCGCACTCCCGATCCCATGCCCGAGCTCGCACCCCGGGGTCCCACACCCGAGCTGGCACCAAAGGTGTCGCCGCCTAAGCTTATACCTCGGGTTGCGCCGCCTGGCCGCTAGATGGCTGTGCCGTGGCCGACAGCCGACGGCGCGCTGCACGTGTGGAGCGCTGCGGCGGGCGGCGGCCGGTGCTCTCCGTCCGCGCCTCGCCGGCCGAGCTGCTTAGCTGTGACTGGAGCCGCTACACAGCGCCCGCCAGCTGGCCACCGCCGGCGTGGACGGCTGCCACGCGCCTCTGGGACCTCCGGGACGCGCGGAGTCCGCTCGTGCAGCTGGCGGTACGTACAAGACGGGGGGGGGGGGGGGGGGGGAGAAACGGGGCTCTGGTCATGACGGGGGTTTGCAGTCGGGTGATTCGGGACCGCCGGAACGGCTTTAGATTAAACTAGAGCTAAAAAGTGATTTGATGTTCTAGCGGTAGTTCAGTGAGGTTCAGTCTGACTGTGGCTAATATGGGAGTTCCGGATATTTAAGACTAATCGTGGAACTATGACACAATAGCAGTAATAGCTGCGAACCACGACTCATTTTGATGGCTTGTATGCACAGTTAATGGAGCTCTTATGTTTTTTGTTTTTTTAGCTACGTGTAGGACCAAAACAAGAATGTGTGACCCACTTAGTTTGATAAAATAGGGCCTTTGTAATAAGTATCAGCCTTAGGTTTAATTCTGTTGAGTTGAAACCTATCGTAATGATGCTCGACACCGTTTCACTGTGTCAAGGACAAGTCTCTTAGATTTGTGTATGTTCTTGAGAGTGACCTTATAATTCTTTAAAGGGGCTGCAAAAATCATTTGGTGGTTAAGCACATGGCAAGTCGCGGTCTGCGGTTGGTTCATGCTGTGCTCTTTTTTGTCGAGCGTGCGCTCTTTACGCTACCACATTTCTGAAAACCTTCTACTTAACTTTGGAGTCCGACGGGAAGTTAGCAGCACATAGTAGCACCAGCATTGTGCCAGCACCTTAGGTCAACGTTATTGTATCGGCAGCTGAAAAAGTACAAAAGACCCAATATTTCCTTTGTTCTAAATCCTTGGGGCTGAAGTTCATATTTTGTGGAACCACACTTGTTGCCCCGTTCCAAAATAATAAACTTTGAGCCTTTTACGCACACCCAATCCCGTTAATTTTGATTGATACCGGTAGGACAATAAGTGACGTCTGGAATGTCAGCTGTAGCCTTCTCAGCAATGCTCAGACATAAATCATATATTCGTTGCCAATGTTGCATGAATTTATTGCTTGACAACTCTCTTTTTGTGGCCAAATGCTAGTTGAAATGAACGTCGCGCACACTGTCTTGCAGCGCTGCCAAGTATTATTCAATTGTCCTCACCAGTTTTTCTATCTCTGGATCAGCAGCGATAACCGCACTCTGACAAGAACGTGGGAACGACTGTCCAATGTTCTCGTGACTAAAGGCGCTCAAAACATTACCTAAACTGCTATCGCGAACAGATTCCACACCACAGTCTGGATGCGAGTCGCAAGTCAACACCTCCATCCATTCGTCCCCCGTGTTGGCATCTTGTTGTCACGCGCGTTGGCACCTCGTTGTTGCTTGGCACGTATAACTCCGTTCCTCTTGCAGGGCCACCGCTACGCTATCAAGAAGGTTCGGTTTTCGTCGTTCGACAGCACCGTGCTGGCGACAGCCTCGTATGACAAGACATGCAGGTGGGCCGGCTGTGGGCTGAGTGTAATATCACGACGACAGATGCCGAGTTAAAGGTGCCAGTCTATCTCTCACCCTGTGGTAACGCTTTCGACGTGAGTGGGGGAGGGGGGGGGGGGGGGAAGGAGGCGCTGAGATTCTGTATCGGTGGCGGGTTGGAACGGAGCTGATGCTGACCGTCGTGCCTGACTCCAGACTGTGGAGTTGCACGGAGGCACGCTGCTTGGGAACGCTGGAGAGCCACACCGAGTTTGTCTACGGGCTGGACTGGTCCGTGCTGGAGCGACAGCAGCTGGCCACCTGCGGCTGGGACAGGAAGATTCAGGTCCACACACTGCCGGCTTAGACCGGCCGCTGGAACAGGACGGTCCAGGGTCCACACACTGCCGGCCTAGACCTGCCGCTGGAACAGGACGGTCCAGGTCCATACACTGCCGGCCTAGACCTGCCGCTGGAACAGGACGGTCCACGTCCACACACTGGGGGACTGACATAGTCGTAGGGGCGGATCTGCCGCTCGAATGGTGTCAGCATCGCTGTGCGTTGTGCGGTCGCCAGCTCGTAAGCGCAGGCGCATCAGACGGGCCCCGTTCGATTTACGTTAGTGACGAGACGGTTGGAAGTTCCTCTTTTTATCGTTTATGGTCATGTCACAATAAATGAGTGATTGCTATCATGCAAGTTCTGATGATGAAAATTCGTGTCATATTGGGTATAAATTCTTTGTCTTTGAGCATGGTTTAGGCATCCCGCAATCGCCAAGTCTTCGACTGGCCAGTACCTCGCACAGTGAACAGCGGTGTGGTGCGGGTTTAGACGGATACTTCTACTGCATGAACCATGTGACGTCAGTGCAGAATATTGTTTATCGATACCATACCTTGCGCGGGCTAGTTCACACCCGGTGCTGCTCGCCGAAGGCGGTTCTGGCGCCGGCCTCCAGGTCGCGGCGTGGCACCGCGAGAGCGAACCGTCGCGTGCCCCCCTCGGCGGTAGCGACGCTGCCGGCCCCCGGGCCTCGGGTCACGGCGCGGCAACCGCGATAGCGAGCCGTGGCGTGCCCCCCTCGGCGGGAGCGACGCTGCCGGCCCCCGGGCCTCGGGTCACGGCGCGGCACCGCGAGAGCGAGCCGTGGCGTGCCCCCCTCGGCGGGAGCGACGCTACCGGCCCCCGAGTCACGGCGCGGCACCGCGAGAGCGAGCCGTGGCGTGCCCCCCTCGGCGGGAGCGACGCTGCCGGCCCCCGAGTCACGGCGCGGCACCGCGAGAGCGAGCCGTGGCGTGCCCCCCTCGGCGGGAGCGACGCTGCCGGCCCCCGGGCCTCGGGTCACGGCGCGGCAACCGCGAGAGCGAGCCGTGGCTCGCGCCCACCGGTAGGAGCGACGCTGCCGGCCCCCGCGCCCCGAGTCACGGCGCGGCACCGCGAGAGCGAGCCGTCGCGTGCCCTCTCGGCGGGAGCGACGCTGCCGGCCTCGGGTCACGGCGCGGCGCCGCGGAGAGCGAGCCGTGGCGTGCTCGCATCGGTGGGAACGGCGCTGCGGGCCGAATGGCGGCACGCACCTGCTGCCGGCGTGTCCTTACCTTGAGGACAGAGCCGGGCTCCTTGGAGGCCGAGGCGCGAACAATTCTCGAGAGGTGGCGGTGGCGACGCGGCCGCGTCTGGTTCGGAACGTATGCCTTGCGCGGCGCCGGACGCCAGAACTGAGGAGGCTATACGCTCTATTCTAACACAAGATAAGATGTCGTGGCATACGTTTTGAATGTCCTGTGTCCTGCACCGTACGACCAATGATTTATGGGCGTTACAGCCGAGTTAGTGTGCAATCCAGGGGATCTGTCCGGAGGAGACGCGCCGAACATTGCTGTGCGCTGAGGTTTTATTGCGTTCGTCCCGATGGTGATCGGCTGGCTCGGGTGCGTGACGATAGGTGTAGCACGCTCGATGCATGTCGTATGTACGTGCGGGTTTGTGATTGGGCTGACACCCATGTGAAACATCGCGGGACAGAGAAAGTGGTCCAAGTGATTCCCACTGTAATACCCCGTGGATCACATATTTGTTCACGTTTGGCGGCTCGAGATGCTTGACAGACGACCGTAACGTAATAGGCATCTTGGAAAGAGCTTAAAGGTATGCAACGTTAAATTTGATCACCCGGCGTGACTAAAGAGCTTGTATTTGTCTTTCACTGGGGGTCGTGCTTATCCATTGTTGGTTGTTACACGTGTTCTGGGAACAATATAGCTGTTTGATTTTCAGCTTCTGTAGTAGCCCCGGTTTCTTTTGTCAGGGACACCTGGTTGTGCCCGTCCTCGGCCCCGTCAGCCAGGTGCCTGTGGTGTCTGTCCAAGCCCACTGTGCACGCACTCGGCGCGCGGGGGCCTGGTTCACGCCAGCGCCCGGCTGCCCGGGGCGAGGGCTCCCGCTGAACCGTCACCAGCTCCGCGCGGCGCCGGCCGTCGCTCCCGGGGCGAGGGCTCAGGCTGAACCGTCACCAGCTCCACGCGGCGCCGGCCGTCGCTCCCGGGGCGAGGGCTCCGGCTGAACCGCCACCAGCTCCGCGCAGCGCCGGCCGTCGCTCCCGGGGCGAGGGCTCCGGCTGATCCGTCACCAGCTCCGCGCAGCGCCGGCCGTCGCTCGGCCCTCCTACACGTCTCTAGCTGGCACGTAGCTGGTGTATTCGGCGACACGGCATCCGGTAACACGTGGCGGCTCCGCGGCTGCTGCCGCCGCCTTGCGCGGCCACAAGGCGGCGCAGGGGCGCGACGCTCTCCCTCACACTCACACAAACAAAACAAACGGCGGACGGGCGTGGCACGCCCTGTCTTTGGCCGAGGCCGCGGCGCGACCGCCGCACTGGCGCGCCCCGCCCGCGGCGCAGCGCCCGACTGTCCCGACCGCGGGCCGGCGCACCAATACTCTGAGATCCCTGCGCGGCGTATTTGCACTTGTTGCGGCGAGCGTGGCGCGTGCGGCCGGCGGCCGCCGCTACCGCCTCAGTCGCGGCAGCGGCGCCGGGATGGGACCGACGATGAGCGGTCGGCGCAGCTGCGTCTTCGGCGGCGGCGGCCGCTTCACGGGTATCGACGACACCGGCCTGCGGAGGAAGCGGAGCGGTCAGCGCCGAGCGGCGGGCCGGCTCGAGCGACGGGGTGGGCTGCGCCGGCGCGCCAGGCGGCCGGCGGGGCACCAAGTCACTCGCAGAACACACCCACGGCATGCCTACGGTCCGTGTTGAGAGTGAGGGGGCGAGAGCGCTGAGTCACAACATCGATTGTGATGATGCACTAATCAGCTGGCACAAGGCGCCGGGAGGATGGCAGCGTTGCGCCATAGTGCGTCAATTACGGTGCGTTGTGCGGAGGGAGAAGCGAGGGATGCCGGAGTACCGGAGAACGTCGGACAGCGGCAGTGCAATTGAAGCGTCCCGCGTGATACACAGATGCAACAGGGACAACATATGCCCCCAGCGGTCGGCGATAGACAATCCCGGAGCATGCGTGTGTACCGTCCCCACGAGTAGGCGCTTCCTGACGCTCGTAAACGCATTTGTCCATGTGAATTGAAACCAAAGCTTCCCGCCCGTCTTGGCTGTACGGTGTCATCCAAACAACCAGCAGCACGTCTTGCTGTTTGACCGGCGACCGGGCCGCCACCGCTGACCCGGGCGGGTGCTGCACCAGCCTCTCCGGACTCGGCGCGGCACGCCAGGGCACGTCCGGCCGGCCCGTCCCCGGCTGCACGTCCATTGCGCAACCGCTGCAGGCAGGCCCATGCGGCGGCGAGACCTTGGCGTCGGCGGCGCGCTGGCTCGATTGTGCGTGTAAGCTGTGCGGCTGGGGAGCGGGCGAGGGGGTGAGTGAGTGAGTGAGCGAGCGAGCCTGCCCGGGCTGCGGAATGGGTTAGCGGAATCGTGTTTGCATTGAAGGCGAAGTGGGTGGGATTGCGCGTGTACCGGTTCGTCGGATGACGCAGAGGGAGGGGGGACGGGGAGGCGTCGAACCACATCTCTGCTCGCATCTCCGCGGCTGAGACCGGTCAGCCAAGCCTGCCTGCCCAGTCCGGCCAGTCAGCCAAGCCTGCCAGCCAGCCCGGCCAGTCAGCCAAGCCCACCAGCTCAGCGCGGTCAGCCAGTCGCGACGCTCTCGCAGCTGATCAATATAGTCGGTGAGATAGACGCCGGATAAGGGACAGGCCAGCCTCGGCCGCGGCTGCACTGGCCTACCAGTTTTATGATGACGTCTGGCGAAGTCAAGGGCGGGAGGGAAGCGGCGCAGCCAGCTCCACACGGCCGTGTCGCCCGGCGCACGGTGGGCCCGGCGGCTGTCGTCCGTGGCCAAAGGCGCTGGGAAGGGTACGGTGGGAGAGGGACGCGGCGAAACTCGTTTCGCATTGGGTAGCGTTGGTGGAGGCCGGTTAAAACTGACGCAAAGGTTTGAATCTGGATGAGACGTATGGGCCGATTTAGACGGCTCAGTTCAGGGGGCTCAACCAGCCCCGTAATCATCGGCAAGTCCAACTCGGACAAACCGCACCAATAAACAGCGAGTCATCGCCTGATCCGACAGAGCACGCCGGGGCCGAGCGGGTATACCTCGGGGAGACGCATCAGAACTCAGCGATTCAGACTTGCTGGACGGCCACATCGCCAGAAGAGAGCGGCTCTGACTCGATGAAACACACCAGCCTTGCGGGAGCTCGACACAGTGTGCCTCATCAGAGCAGAAGGGTCCACACTGCACGGAGCTCAAGAGCCGCGAGAGCCGGATACGGAACGGACGTGACTTCGCGGCGCAACGGGACGCACCAATCCAGGTTCCACGAAGGGCATCAGGCCGTGGCGAGAGGGACGCGGTGGAAAACACCAGTTGGCCGAGCGGACCAGACCCTGGGTACGTCCCGAGCCCTTGAACCAGTCACCCCAGCCCGTAACGACCGAAAGGAAGAGTCTGGGGGGCGTCTTCAGCCACACCCCGCATCCGCATGCATTCATCGGACTGCGGCGGATGTTGAAGGCCCCTGGTGACGCGCGCCTTTCAGGCCGTACATTCCGGCTGGGGCCGGCCCGTGCCTGCCCCTCACGTTCGCCCGTCCAACCGCACCGGTCTGGCGGCGGACCGAGCTCGTGGACGTGCCGGGCCGGCGTCGGCGTGCGGGGATCGCGGCACGTGCACGCCGGCTGCGTACCATCCGCCCCGGTGGCACTGCCTGCAAAATCGCACCGCTGTGGCTAAGCGCTCTTTAAACGTCGTGACGGCGACGCCAGTCCGATGCAGTGTTGAACACCCACCGTCTTAAGGCGAATCACGACTCCCCAAAGCCTGCCTTAGCTCACAATGTTTTGTGTTTTACACTACTCTTAACGGCCCGCGATGTTCTTCACTTTTCTGTTTTAGCCAAAGTGTGAGCGTCTTTTATTTGTAGAATATTGTCCGCCATGTAGCTAAGGATGTAAGAAAGATGCCTAAAGAAATAGTATGAACATCGCCGCGGTCCTGAGGCTCAGAAACTTGAGAGGTTTAGGTCTTGGGTGGGGCTGTGAGCTGCACCAAATGATCTTCAAAGTGGCTATTTCAGCTCAAAATCCTACACAAATGTGCAACACTCCGTTTTAAGTCACAAGTTCACCAATCTAAACATTACCTTTTAAATCGCTCAGCCGCCATCCATTGAGCCGAAGCAATCTTCTGCTCCTATTAAGAAAACCAGCGGCTAAAACACCCGTGTTTGCGCCAGCATCTGGCATCCTGTGTGCCGGTGTGCGCCGCTCGCCTTGGGCTGGCTTCAGCCGACCGGCCATTCCCCTGAGCGGCGGGATCCCGCTGCCTTGGTGGCCGATTAGCCGAGAAAGCCCCGCCTGGCTCGGTGATAGCGTCGCGCTGCCGGTCGCCGTGGCCGTGACCATTCTGAGGACCGGTGCAGGCTTTGTTGACCGGCGCCGGTGCCGGTGTTGTGCGGAGGCGCCTTCATATGTCAGTCCGTTACGTGCGAAAACGAGTC